AAGTTTCGCGGGGCATTGGTGGCGCACACCTTTAATCCCAGCACTCGGGAGGCAAAGGCAGGTGGATCTCTGAGAGGTTGAGGCCAGCCTGGTCTCCAGAGCAAGTGCCAGGATCGGCTCCAAAGCTACACAGAGAAACCCTGTCTCGAAAAACAAAAAACAAACAAACAAAAAGTTTCAAAAATGAACCAAAAAAATGCCCTGTCTCAGAAAACCTAAATAAATAAATGACAAAAATGCTGTCATTTTTACTTTCAATACACCTTTCTTCGATTCCATTCCTTTCCTCTACCTAACCCAGCAAGTGAATGTACAATTACCCCAAAATGCAAAGTTTTGTTGTTGTTTTAAGATAGGGTTTCTCTGTGTAGCTTTGGAGCCTGTCCTGGCACTCACTTTGTAGATCAGGTTGGCATTGCATTCACAGAGATCTCCCTGCCTCTGTCTCCCGAGTGCTGGGATTAAAGGTCTACGCCACTATGCCTGGCTGAATGCAAACATTTTTAGTAGATAAAAAATCATCTGGGTTATCTCTTTGTGTAAACTTCTGCAGTTTTGGTTTTTAGTGATGCTGAGGACTGGATCTAGGGTCTTGCACATGACACTCAACTATCCCTCAACCTGGCGGTCTGTCTTATAAAATGACAGTATTGCTTTCTGGGTGATCCCAGTACTCCGGAGACAGAGGCAGAAAGACTGCCAAAAATACAAGATCTTAAACATAACAAAACAAAGTGAACAAAGAAAGCGGTGTCAATTTCATCAAAACTACCAAATGTATTAGCTTAAAGATGCGTGTATACAATGTCTATTGTTTTAACTCTCTAGGACTTCTAGCGACATTCTTCCTTCTCTCTCCTCTCTCTCTGCCCCTCTCTCCATCTCTCCTCATATCGCTCATTTGTGTCTCCCCCCTCCTGTCCACTCCTAAACATCTTGATTATCTCTTTTTTCTTCTGTTATGTTTTACATCCCCCTAGATGTCTGTGTTGGTTAGATTTGTCAACATGAAACAAAGGAGAGTCGTCTGAAAAGAGGGATTAAAGAATCGCCTCCATCAGATTGGCCTTCAGGTTAGCCTGTGCTGCATTTGTTTGGTTGGTGATCGATGCAGGAGGGCCATTCACTGTGGGTGGTGCCGCCCTGGGTTGATGGTCCTCGGATGTATGAGAAAGCAGGTTGAGCAAGCCATGGGGAACAATCCGGCAACATATGTTCCTCCATGGCCCCTGCTTCAGTTCCGGCTTCCTGGTTCATCCCGTAAATTCCTGACCTGACTTCCCTCAGTGATGAACTGTTATCTGGAACTCTAAGATGAAATAAACCCTTTCCTGCCCTAGTTGCTTTGGTCGGTGTTTTATCTCAGCAACAAAGACGATAACTAAAACTGCTCCCCCCCCCCCTTTTTTGGAGCAATTTGGTATTATAATTGTGCTGCCAATTTCCAAATAATGAGAAATTTCTCAGAGGTTAATTGTTAGTCTAATTTCTATGTAGTTTGAGAGTATATATTGTATGATTCAGTTTTGGGTTTTTTTTGTTTGTTTGTTTGTCTTTGCAGAGCTGCATGTTTGACTCCAACATCCTAACTCTACTGAACCTGGTTTAATGGCATGAAATCTAATCAGTTATGGTAAATGTCCCTCATTCTCTGGGAATGTGTGCTCTGCTTTTGTTCCAGTGTTCTATAAATATTACATCAAGCTGGGCGGTAGTGTTGCTTGAGACTTCTGCAGCCTTGTTTTCTACTTGTTCTACCAACTTCGGAAAAGGGAGTACTACAAGCTGCAGCTATGGTTCTCTCCCTTTAGGTCTGTTCGTTGTTGCTTCAGCTATTCTGAAGTTCTGTATAGATATTTAAGATTAGATAGGGACTCATACCTTTTAAGGCAGTCTGTCCCTCCCTCCCTCCTTCACTTCCTTCCCTCCTTTTCTCCATCCTTCCCTCTCTAGGACAGGGTCTCACTACCAAGGCTGGATTCCAACTTGCTATCTTCCTGCAGGTAGATAGATATCTGTGAGTCTGAGGATAGCCTGGACTACACAGTGAGACCTTGTCTTAATCAATTAACTTTGGACCACATACTCTCAATGTAATTATTAATGACTTAATCATCTTATTTCTAGGGACCCCAGTGTTTGTTTCTTTCCCTGTATTCTTTGCACTGTATTTTTCCTTTTTACGTAATTTTTAAATTAAATTATAAATTTAAGTGATAAAACATCAACATTATACAAACTTTTGGGTGTGATGTAATGTTTTGATACATTTGCACTGTGTAATATTTAAACATAACACATTTTCATTAAGTAAAACAACAGTTCACTTAATTGTGACGTATTATGTAAAATGATTCACTCATTAACATTCATAAAATACAATGAAAATTTATATTTCTTTTGTTATAAGTGCCATTTATCAAGGATACAATTATCAAAATCAACTCATCATAGCAGATTACATTGATAACTAGAATTTTAAATTAATAAATGTATTTTCTTAAATAAATCCAATCTATTTGTTCTTGGCAAGATGCTTAAAGTAGGCCAGGGACAGAGCAGATCCTGGGGCCTTGCTGGCCAGCTAGTCAAGCCTAAACATTACAGAGACAAGGGCTTGAAAGACAAAAGTTGGTTTCTTGAAAATAATCATTGTTGTTAGTTATTCTAATTAATATGCAGTGGGCTGAATGTTTGTGTCCCTCTAAAATATATTGACACTTACTTCCACTGTGATGGTATCTGTTAAGTCTCAAACCCTTGAAAAATGGGAGAGAATAGCCAGGGGCAGGGACATCTGGTCATGATCACTCTGGACTCACAGATGTCTCTGTCTCTGGCTATGCTCTCCCTCTTATCTACAATAAACTTTCTTCTTCACCATACCTAAGAGTAGTCATGTCTGAATTTCCTTTTTATTTCTTTTTTACATTCATCTGGTGCCAAAACCTGGGACAGTCATGTCCTTTTTTAATTTCTTTAGATTAGCTGATGAGGGTAGAGCTGTCATGAATGGAATTAGTTCCTTACAAAGAAAAGTGCAGAGTGAATGAATCCCCCTACCCCAGTGCAAGAATCCAACTTCTATAAACAAGACAGCTCTCACCAACAAACCAACTGTGTTAGCAATTAACTGCAGTTCCTTTTTCTCTCTCTCTCTTTTTCTGAGACAAGGTTTCTCTGTGTAGCTGTGGAGCCTATCTCAGCACTAGCTTTGTAGACCAGGCTGGCCTCGAACACGAAGAGATCAGCTTGCCTCTGCCTCCCGAGTGCTGGGATTAAAGGTGTGCACCACCACCTTGTGGCTTTTTATTTTTTGTGCATTGGTTTTTTTGCTTGCATGTATGTCTGTGTGAGGGTGTCAGATCCCCTGGAACTAGAGTTACAGATGGTTGTGAGTAGCCATGTGGGTGCTGGGACTCCAACCCAGGCAGGGCCTGTCTTGACTGATAAGCCATCTCTCCAGCCTCTTTTTTGTTGTTGTTTTTGTTTTTCAGACAGGATTTCTCTGTGTAGCTATGGCTGTCCTGGAACTTACTTTATAGATCAGGTTGGTCTTGAACTCAGAGATCTGCCTGCCTCTGCCTCCTGAGTGCTGGGATCAAAGGCATGTGCTACTGCCACCCAGCTCTCTTCAGACTCTTAACTAGTGACTTAAAGATTTAACTTGGGAAAATGTTTAATTTGTTAAAAAGTATCATTTTTCTCAACATGGCAACAGTGAGGATTAAGAGAAGAAAATAGGATTAATAAAGAAAAATGAACATGATACATAGGTATGTCCCTCTAAACAGCAAGACCAACTCCAGTTTAAAAACCTGGAGGTGGATAGCTAAGGGAGAAAAGGTGGTCTTACCGAGCTCTGGACCCTGCATGCTATAATATGGATCTGCCAAGCAAGATATGGTCACTGGTGTAATAGCAGCATCACTGTTAGCCAACCACTGTTTGGATTTGAGGCCTGCTCTACAGGAGGGAATTCAGGCTTGGTACTGTAAGTCTGGTAGAGTCCATGGCTCAGGAGGTCATAGCCCCAGGAGAGAACTTAACTACCATTGTTTTGCTAAATGATCACTTTGTCAAATTGCCTTTTAAATATTTATGCTTGTATTCATAGATTATCTTCACCCTCAACCTTGGTCAAAGCTCTTTTTTTTTCCGTGGCCAGCAGCAATCAATATAAAGAATACTAATTGGTCAAAATGCTGAGAATAAATGTTGTGTGCTCAGCCCTACATGGGACATCTAATATCAAATACTCCACAGAGACAGACACAGACAGACACATACACACCCAACTCAGGGAATATCACGGAGAGGGCACAGAAGGAATGTAGGAATAGGATAGGAAAGAGCACCAAGAAATGCTGTGTTCTGGATGTGACATGGCTGTTGCACTGTGGTTACCTACAAGATTCAGCCAGCCAACATTCCATCATAGATAGTAGAGGCAGAGGGACCCATGAGGCTCTAACTGTAACCAAGAAAGTATTGGCAACTGATGGCTTACTTGGGGAGAGAGTCATAGGTTTTTTTTTGGAGTGTGTGTGTGTGTGTGTGTGTGTGTGTGTGTGTGTGTGTGTGTTGTACATGTAGTGCTGCTGGTAAGTTGTCTTAAGCTCTAGTAGACAGCGAGTCCTGTGCACATACAGGCTAACTGGATTAAATATGTCATGGTTAAGAGCACTGCCTGTTTTTCCAGAGGGCCTGAGTTCAATTCCCAGCAACCACATAATGGCTCACAACCATCTGTAACACTGCATACATAATAAATAAATCTTTAAAAAATATAAAATAAAAAAAGCCCTCTTAGAACATATCCATTTGTTAAGTTAAATTTGGTAGCTGCCTGCTACATGTAGAATTATTTATATATTGAGATAGCCTCACTATGTAGTTTAAGCTAGCTTGGAATTCATGATCCTCCTCAGCTTTCCAAGTGTTGGGATTATAGGTACATACACGAAATTTTTCTAATTTTAAGAGTTACAAAACAAAACAAAGTTTTTCCTTACTTTATTAAACCATTCTTTCAAGGACAAACATACAGCCAAGGACGCTAGAGTGAGGAAATCTTGTTTTTATGAGAAAGAAGTCACCAGATAATTCCAGGTGCTGTCTTCAGTGATTCTTCTTATCATTCTGGGAAGTCAGGAAATATTCAATCCCTATAGCTGCCACAAATGCAGCAGATCCCCATTTGAACCCTTTCAGCAACACGTGCATGAAGGTGATATTCTCTGCAAAGCCACCCATATATCTCCAAGCCTCATTGCTGAAAAAGAGAAGAGAAATGATAATCACATGCAATTCACATTAATTGAGCCAAATGCATTTGATTTTCTTCTTTCTTCAATACTGAAATGCTACATTAGTACTTTTTGTTCTTGTGGGTTTTGTTTTGAGACAGTCTCATTTTATAACCCTGGCTGTCCTGGAACTCACTATGCAGACCAGGTTGGCCTCTCAGAGATCCATCTGCCTCTGTATAAGTGCTGGTATTAAAGGCATGAGCCATTGGGCCCAGCATTGTTTTCTTTGTTTTTTGAAATGGGGTCTCACTCTATATGACAAGCTGGCTTCCAACTTTCGGCAAAACTCCTGCTTCAGCCTCCTGAGCTGAAAGGCTACAGGCATGAACTAACACACAAGGTTCAAAGCAAGATTATTTAATATTGTAAGTCAAACTAGGACTATTTCTGGGGCATAGGATAATTAAGAATATATGACCAAGTTTCATATATAAAATATGAATTTGTTCTTCTCTTCAAAGTAAACTACTTATCTCCCTTACATTATTGTAATAAACATTAAGCATGCAAATGTACAATATATTTTGTCTCAGAAGGATGCACACCTGATTTTATTACTACTCTTCAAGAGGCTCAAAGCCTTTCCTTGTCATACAGCCTGAGCTTCAGAAGACTGATCTCCTGCTCTGGATGGTTCTTTTGACTATGCTGAACAGAGAGGGCAACAGAAATCTGTTATAGGGAAAAATGGAGGGGGGCAGGAATCACCTTATAGGGGACAAAAAAATGAACTAAAAAAATCTGTCTCACTAGAAAATATGGAAACAAATCAAACTAGTTTAGATGCCAAAACCACACAAAGATGTTAGAAATTGCTCTGGCTGTAGAACTCTGGAACTCTGAGGCTAGTATAGATCAGGCTAGCCTGGAACTCAAAGAGATCAGCCTGCCTCTGCCTCCTGATTGCTGGGATTAAAGGTGTGTACCACCACACTAGGCCTGTTGCATATTCTGAACAAAATTTTAGAAAACTAAAACCAGCAATGTACAAACAAAAATAATTAATCACGAAGAAATAGGGCTCAACTTAGAAAAGCAAGATTGGTTTAATATTTGTAAATCAGTACAAGTAACTCACTACATTAACAGAAAAAAGACATCAACATCTCAGTAGATCATCCAATACTAATAAAAAGCCTGGGTATGCTGGCAAGTCTTTCCAGTCCAGCTAATCAGGAGACTAAGGTAAGAACGCTGGCTGAACCAGGAATAAGAACAAGCAGGGACAATATGGCAAGACTGACTTATACCTACAATCCCAGTGTCCAGAGGCTGAAAGACACAAGACTGAATACAGTTCAGAATCAGCCTGAGCTACTTAGTAAGACCTTGTTGCAAAAACCACCAGGAAAAAAAAAAAAAAATCAAAATCTTAAAGAAAATTCTTTGTTTCTTTTTCCATGTTACCTATTACAATAATGCAAGAAAAAAAAGGAAAGTTTATAGTTTGAGAAAGACAAAGTGATATTGTCTCTGTACACAAAATGATCATTACTCAAAGAAAAATTTAAGGGACATATAAAATAATTTACTAGGCCACACACTTAGCTAAAACAAAAATTGAGCTAAATAATGAATGGGATATAAAGTCAGTGTCTGCAAATTAATTACAATCTTAATTGTCAACAACACAATTTAAAATAACACTTATGATAGTACCAGAAATATGAATAAATTCAACAAAATGCTCGAGATCTGTATAAAAGTTAAGAAAATAATGCTTAAAAGTTCAAAAGGTCATAAATCACATGTATTCTTAAAGACTCATTGTTACAGCCACAAAAAATTATCTCCAAAATGATGAGTCCAATAAAAACATGAAAAAGATTCTACTATACATTTCTGTGAAATAGTGAATGAAAGCCCAATTAAAATCCAAGTCAGCTATTTGTAGAAATTGATGAGTACAAACTAAAATTTATAAGCAAATAAAACAAGGCCCAGAATAGCTTAACCAACGGAAGGTAATTGGAGATCTTATACTATCCTATTAAAGATTTCAGTATTGGACCTAAGTGCAGATACACTGAACAGAGAAACAAGACAGAGTTCAGAAAAAGACCACACAGATACGGTCTATTGATTTTTGACGTATTTATCAAAGTAATTCAACTGGGAATAACCTTTTAATAAATGGTTCTGAACCACCTGGATATCCTCAGATAATATTTGCCTCCCTTCTTTCTTCAATAAAATGAAAACTTATGGTGCTAGAGAGATAGCTCATTAGTGAAAAGCATGGGCTGCACTTCAAGAGGATCCAGGCTGGATTCATAGCAACCACAGGAGTTTATATCTAGACTCAGAAGCTCTAACACCCTCTCTCTCCTGATCTCTGTGGAACCAGACACATGTGCTGTGGAATATTATTTTAAGATGTGTTACATTTGTCATGCTGTGGAACATTTGTTTAAACATGCAAAAATGTGTTGCATTCTTTTATGTTTCTCTTGTTTAACTCTGTGAAGCTGTCTTACTTTGCCTGTTTAACACACCTGATTGGTCTAATAAAGAGCTGAATGGCCAATAGAGAGGCAGGAGAAAGGATAGGTGGGGCTGGCAGGCAGAAAAGATAAATAGAAGGAGAAATCAGAAGGAGCAAAAACGAGGAAAGAAGGATGTTGATGTTGGGGCCAGCCATACAGCCAGCCACAGAGTAAGGGGGGGAAAGTAAGATATACAGAAGTAAGAAAAGGAAATAAACACAGAGGCAAAAGGTAGATGGGATAATTTAAGTTAAGAAAAACTGGCTAGAAATAAGCCAGGCTAAGACCGGGCATTCATAAGAAATAATAAGTCTTTGTGTGTATTATTTGGGAGCTGGGTGGTGAGCACCCCAAAAGAGCATAAAGCCAAAAAAAGTAAAATAACAACCAATAACACACATGTGGTGCACAGACATACATGCAGGCAAATACACATAAAGATAAATACATTTTTTTAAATAAAAAAATTGCTCTTCCATAAGTCCTGAGTTCAATTCCCAGCAACCACATGGTGGCTCACAACCATCTGTAATGAGACCTGGTGTCCTCTTCTGTCATATAGGGATACATGCAGACAGAACAATGTGTACAAAATAAATAAATCTTAAAAAAAATTAACTCAAAGTAAATAATCATATCTCAATTCATGAAAACCATAAGCTGAGTGTGATGATACATGCCTGCAAACCCAGTACTTAGGAGGCTAAGACAGGACCATCAGGAGTCAGCCTGGCTTGGGTCATACACATAACTGCTCAAAAAGAAAAAAAAAGCTTCTAGAAAATATAGGACAAAATCCTAGATGAGATGAAAAAGTAATAGTGACAAAAGAAAAAAATACTTTATTGGGAAGTTATTGGAATTTAAAACATTAAAAAATGAAAAGACAGGTTATATACTGACATATACTCTGGGAAAACATTTACAAAATTTATATATGATGAAGGGATTATTTTCAAAATATATAAAGAACTGTTATAGCTCATAACAAGAGGTCAAAAGACCTAAGGATATACTGCACAAAAAAAAAAAAACCAGATATATACACAAAATAATTAACATAATCATCAGTGTTCACACAAACTTTCTGCTGACATATTAGAAGGGCTTCATCTCTTTTACTTTTTTTGAGATTAGCTCTTACGTAGCCCAGGCTGGCCTCCAATTTGATATTGGATGGTCTTGTAATTCCAATCCTCCTGCCTCCACCTTTCAAAGGCTGAGAGTACAGGCATGCAAACAACCATGTTTTTGGCATTAGAATAGCTGACGTTAATACACTGAAAACACAACACACTGATGAGACCATTAAGCGACTGAAATTCTCATCCACTGCTGGTAGGAATGGGGAATAGTAACACGACTTTAGATCATTGTTTGGCAGTTTTTATAAAAACCCATAGACTTACCATATAACCCAGAAATCCCACTCTTAGGTATTTACCAAAGGGAAATGAAAACACATGTCCAGACAGACTTGTGAATAGTTGCAGCAACTTTACTCATAATAAGAACCAAGAGCTGGAAATAATTTGAATTGTTACTGTGGTAAACAAAATGTGTGGCTCACACCTTCAGTCCCATAACTCTGGAGGCAGAGGCAGGTGGATCTCTGAGTTTGAGGCCAGCCTGGTCTACAGAGCGAGTTCCAGTTCCAGAACAGGCTACACAGAGAAACCCTGTTTCTAAAAACCCAAAACAACCAACCAAACAACCAAACAAAAGAAATAAGACAAAAACCCCAAGGGTAAAAAGTATTAAGTTGGGTTCCAAGACAGGCTTTCTAGAATGAGTTTTATCACTTGGTACTTAAAAAACAAAGCCAATAAGAGAGAAAACTCAGCTACCCCTGCCCTGCCCCCTCAAAAACCAACATTAAGTGAAAGGCTGGGATGAAAGATGCATCCCACAGGATTCTAATGTAGAAGGTATTAGTAAGAAAAAAACTAGAGACAGAAGCAGAGCAGTAGTTGCCAGGAGCCAGTCATTGGCAACAGCTGCAAAAGGCACAAATTTTCTGGGATAATAGAAATATTCTGCATCATGATTTCAGTAGTGATTCCATAGTTGCCCATTTGTAAAAACTAACAAAATGATAATGAGTTAACTTTAAAATGGGTGAATTAGCCTTGTGTGGCGGCACATGCCATTAGTCCCAGCACACAGGAGGCAGAGTCAAGTGGATCTCTGTGAATTCGAGGCCAGCCTGGTTTACAAAGCTAGTTCCAGGACAGCTAGGGCTGTTACACAGAGAAACTCTGTCTTGAAATGCCCCCCCATATATAAATAAATGAGTAAATAAAATGGGTGAATTGTATTGCACACAAATAAAGCTAAAAAGCCATTTCCCGATAGACAGTGATGGTGAATGCTTTTGATCTCAGCACTTGGGAGGCAGAGACAGGACAGGTAGATCTCTGAGTTCCAGGCCAACATAGTCTACAGATTGAGTTCCAGGACAGCCGGGGCTACACAGAGAAACCCTTTCTAGAAATGCCCCAACCCCCAAAAGCCATTTTTCAGAATATACTGACTCTCTAAACTCACAAACCACTAGATTTGGGCCAGGGAAATAGCTCAGTGGGGAAAAGAACTGGCTGTGGAGCTTTACCCCCAAGACTCACAAGATGGATAGAGGCCTCCCTTGAATCATCTCTATCTGAATACCTGCAGATGCATGCCAGCATTCCTGCCCCGTTATACAAATAAAAGTCACTTCAAAAGAAGACGACATTTTTAGACTCATCTTACCGAGCCCATGGATCCTTCAGCCCTCGCACAGCAAGCCTCTTCTGGACTGTTTCTAACGGTGTCCCTTCTATTTTCCACTGTTTGTAATCTGGAAGTACCAATTTATCATGATAATCGTGACCGTGTCCATGCCCAGGGGCCATGTCTATAGGAAAAAAGTAAAAGAAGGGAAAGAGGTTATATATATCCAAGAGCCAAATTTGATGTTTACAAGTGAAATGTTTTGAAAAAGGATAAATATCTGAAAATTCTTAGTAGAAAGCTTTTATAAAGCATACTATTATCACTCAGGAGGAAGATGCAGGTGGAGCTCTGTGAGTTCCAGGACAGCCAGGGCTACACAGAGAAACCCTGTCTTGAAAAACCAAAACACATACACAAAAACAACATTCGAATACCAATGGCCACCAATTCCTCTCCTGGGTCTGTGCTGTCTTGTTATGTAGTCACTAACATTTGGAATGTGGCTATGTAGCTAAGGAACTGGGAATTTTACTTGATTTAAATTTCAAAGTAAATTCTTTTAAAAAAGATTTTATGTGTGTGTGTGTGTGTGTGTGTGTGTGTGTGTGTGTGTATGTGTGTGTGTGTCATGCATGGCAGTGTCCTCAGAGTCGAGAGAGGGTATTGGATTCCCCTGGAGCTGAAGTAATAAGTAGGTGATTGTGAGCTGTCTGCTGTGGGTGCTAGGAACTGAACTCAGGTCCTCCGAAACAGTAGCAAGTATCAAAGCAAATTCTAAAATCAATTATAAGAAAATACTAAAGTGTCTTTGGAATTATCTGGGTATATGAATATACTTTTTTCAAGTGTATTTTTTCAACCTTATAAGATACAAACAGACCAAGAATTTACGAAAATAACATACAGGTGTATATACTGAATACAAAAAGTACGTTAAATTTTAAGATAATATGAAATGTAGAATAATTCATTAATAATACAGGTTACACACACACACTCAAGACAGGGTTTCTCGGTGTAGCCTGGCTGTCCTGGAACTCAATCTGTAGACCAGGATGGTGTTGAACTCAGAGATCCCCCTGTCTCTGCCTCCTGAGTGCTGTTAAGGCATGTGCCACCACACCTAGTTTCAGAGTATATCTTTAAATGAGAATAAGTTTAATATGTTAGGTTTTTTTTTTTTAGTTTTAGTGTCTACTAGAAAATTTAGTATTACATATGTGGCTTCCATTACATTTTTATTGGACATCACAGCTTGAGAGAATTTTCTATTGTACATGACAAGGAATATGTTTTATCAGACATTTTTCTGAATGAAGTACACATAACTTTAACTTTATCATTGGGATACTCACCACCCTATCTTACAAGAATATTGTTTTATTTACTTGAGACAGTCTTACCTAACTCAGTCTGACCATAAACTTGAAATGAGGTCAGGGATGACTTTGAACTCTCAATCCTGTACTCAAGGGCTATGAGTACAGACATGTGCACATGCCCAGTTCCTATTTTTAAAAGAATCTTGATTTAAAACCTTATTTATTTGTGTGTGTATGTGCCCATATAATGGTCAGAGGACAATTTAAAGGAACGGGTTCTCTCCTCATACCATGGGAAGAGTTACACTGCACTGAGGACTCAACGACAGGGAATTATTTCACGTTTAGAACTACACATTTACGAACAGCAAAGAAATAAATTCAACAAAGAAAGAACATATAATTATAGAAAATTAAAACGTTCTCTGCTTATGTCAGGAGTCATCTAACTTACAAGTTAGATGATGACCAACCTCCACTTGTTCTAGCACGGGAAGTGTTGACTTACTTTCCCTAAGGAATGTTACTTCCACTACATGTAATTTTACAGCTTATCAAGGGCTTTCAAGTATATAACTCAATTTTACCTCATTTAAAAACTGAGATGACCATAAAAATATAAGAAAATAAAGACAAATGAAATGCTATTACTTTAGTACCCAATCCTTAACCCTAGGGATCTGAAATAGACATGATTTTGTGAGGCAGCCGTTGGAAACTTTCTAGTTTAAGTATTTCCGGATCGGGGGATGTTCTTTACTCTACCCAAATACAATTCAAAAATCCAGGAGGCAAGGAGGAAATTGCATGCGGTAGCGGCGGTGGCGTGGGGGCAATGTCTGGGGTTTAACCACTACAGTACTTCTCAGGGCATCCTCCATCCGCCTCTGCTCAACTGTACTTGGCGGCAGCGCTCCCTTCCTCCCGGTCTGAGCTGGTCCCGCTCAGCACTCTCACTTCTGCACTTCCCTAAATACAGTCGAGATTATTCCTAATCCAGAGGTCTCCCATCAACTCCCTAAATTACCTGACAGCAATCTGACCTCTCAGGACACTCAACGTTCAACCTTCCAGCAGGAGCCAACCGGAAACGGACGTCGTCTCCTCGAGTTCCTTACGGCAGGAACGCGGAGGAGATGTTAAGCGTTCCGGTCTTGGCGCAAGACTCCCAGACAAGGTAGAGATGACATAAGGGAGACTGGAAATTGATGTTGTTTTCCACACTTTGCAGCCGGAATCCGACTGCGGTAGGAGGTGCGGGGAAGAGGGCAGGGAGGCTGTGTTTTCCTTGTTCCCGGGAGGAATATTTAGGTGGCGCACCGAGGGGCGGGCCGAGGCCATGGTGCAGCCAATGAGAGCGGCCGTTATTAAGCGCGTGGGCCCACTCAATGAGAGGGCTGGTTGTTATGCTGCAGTTGGCAGGCTGCTGCGGGAGGCGGTGGCGGTAGGAAGCCTGAGGCTGCGGGGTGACAGGTAGGCGGCGGTGCTGTCTTGGGGGGGGGCACGCACAGTGCCGGGTGAAGAGGTTTTCTTCTCCGGCTGCGGACGCGGTAGCCGGGAGCTGACGAAGGTGTGGTGGGGAGGCGGCAGCAGGACGGTTGGCGGATCCGGAGCCCTGCAGACCTGGTAGCAAGCTCGGGAGGGTCGGTCGTAAGGAGAAGGCGGCTGGCGAGGAGGGTTGGGGCTGAGTGTTGTGGGGCGACTTGGGGGGGCCTAGCAAGGGCGTGAGGGTGGCGGCGGCGCGGGCTGAGGCGGGAAGGAGGCGGGAGCAAGGCACAGGTAGTGAGGGCTGAAGGAATTTCTTGCAGGATGCCTCAGGCAAGAGAAGGACGCGGCATTGCAGACACCTGAGTGAAATCCCAGGGGTTGTTCTTCTGGCCGTTTCCTGGGGTAGGGAGCGGTGCCGAGAAGAAAGAGATTTGTTGGTGGTCAGATCTAGAAACTAGTGGCTGTACATTATGTAACCCTTGGCAGTTATTTTTTCCAAACAAGTCGACTGACCCTCGTGGAAGAGGAGCTCTTGCAACCCATTGATACATCTGAACACTTTCTTCTTGTTGTTGTTGGCGTCGGTGTTTTCTACCCAGGCAGGCTCTGTAGGAGGAGGACAGCATGAAGGCAAGAGTAGTCACGAAGCGCTTATCCCAAATAAGGACTTGGGTTGAGAAATGACACGACGTTAGCTTGAGATGGGTGTTTTGTAGTACACGAATTTGCTGCTTTGCGGCTCAAAAAAATGTTTAACCTCCACAAAGGTGGAGCGCCTTATAAGTCTATAGAAGAAGGTAAATGCAAATTAGAAGATGAACAGTAAATTAGTTGGCAGACAACTCGTCCCCAATGTTTGGACGTTAAGGACTGTGAAAATAAGATGGGAATCTAAACAGGGGAGCGTCAACTTTTAAGTGATTTGCTTTGTTAAATCTGGGAAGCCAGTTGTGAGTTACTTATTAGATTTTAAAAAAATGAGGTCTTTGGTTGTCTTGGACTTAGGTTTTTACAAGTTAAAGACTATTTTGTTTTGAAAAGTCTTTTAAATTCACAGTTTGAATGATGAAATACAGTACTAAAACAAACTCCTGTCAGCGTGTATTGTGGAGGGGCATTTGATTTTATAACTCATTGGAAAACTCATCTTAAAAGACTAGAAAACATTTTAAAAGGCAACACTATAAATTATTGAAATTTAAGCTGCCTGGGATGCTGCCTTCAAGTTACAGGCTAAGAAGATAAATGTAGTACCAGGAAATGTGTTGTCTTTCAGGGCTTGTTTTTGAGCTACATGTTAGGAAAACTTTCTAAGTTCTAATTTTTTTTCTACTATTGGTCATTTATGTTAGTACATTGTTAGGTTTTTTTTTATCTCTCAGAATGTCATTTGAAAAGAAATGAATCGTTAGAATTTGTTTTGAAATGTCCAGCACACTGAGGTACTTGCTAGTGCTTTAAATAAAATTTTAAGAACTTGTGTTTCATTCCTTGTCTTTTATCTTTTTACAAGAATAATGCTGTTCTTAGTCACAAAGAAAATGTATATTTTTGCTTTAGATGAAGTGCTATAAATTCTTTACACACCTGTAAATAACTCTTTGCCTTTAGTTAGATTGATTTAAGAGAGAGAGAGAGAGAGACAGAGAGAGAGAGAGTGTGTGTGTATTTCCCTTATGTAACCAGCCTACTAGCTATCTTAGAGAACTAATGGCTGATTTTCAGTGGCCAGTAGGTGTCATTGTTGAATGCCATAAATCGAATAGGCAGTAGGGAATTACCAAATAGTTTAAAAAACACTATCCCAAATTATCATGTAGTAGTATCTGGGTGATTATTCATAAATCATAGTCTTGTTTTCTGAAAGATTTCCATGTCAAAGCTGTTTGTAAGTAATTTGAAACATCGATTGTAAGGAAATATTATTGCTTGCTTCAAAATGGATCTTGGAAGTTGTTTTTTTTTTGTTTGTTTGTTTGTTTTTTAATATAACCCTTAAGCTGTCTTTTTTTTTTTTCCTTCTCTGTAGACCAGGCTGACTTATAAAGTCCTTTCAAAAAGGAGGGAGGTTTGAGGGGCAGGGGAGATGGCTTAGCAGGTATAGCACCTACCATGCAAATGTGAGGATTGAAGTTTGGATCTCCAGGACTCACATAAATGTCAGATGGGTGTTGGTGGCCAGCCCATAATCTCAGCACCTAGGAGGCAGAGACAGGGTATCACCAGTGTGAGCTGGCTAACTGGACTAGTGAAATTGACATGCTTTGGGTTCAGCTGAGCATACCTCAGTGTATATTGGTGGAGAGTGAATGAGGAAGACACTGACGTCAATCTTCACATGCATCCTTACCTGCCCATATGCATAGCTACACCACACACACACACACACACACACACACACACACACACACACACACACACACACTCACTCATAAACTCACACACACACAGTACACACTAAAGAGTTGGACCTACTTTGAGAATTCTCTGTAAAGATAGAGATATCTCAAAATAGTCGAGGAGGTTTTTTGGTTTTTCAAAAAGGGGACACAGGCATATATTTTATCTGTGCTTCCCTTTAGAATCTTAGTGAAGGGTGGGGTATGAAGAGGGCAGATACATTTTACAAGGAAACAAATCCCTGAATGATTTGGTTTATATCTGGCCTTCACTTTAGAATCTTTGATTCAGTTTAGCTTCTGTCACTTGGTGTGGTATGAACTAGTAACAGCAAATTTAGCTGAATAAGCCAGCTGCCAAATCTACCAGTATTTTAAAGCTCAATAAACTGTTTCCATTTAATGTCGCAGCTAGGGCAGCTTTTCTAGCCTGAAGTTGCCAAAAATAAAGATGTGCTAAATGTTTTGGTTTGAATTAGTTTTTACTTGGCACTTAACTGCTTTCCATAAGTCAAGCAATTTTCTTTCACAAATTAGTCCTATACTAATTAATTTGTACAGATATTTACTCATCTTGTTTTCCTAATGTGTCAGAAAGCTATAGTGTCCTTGAGTTAAATTAAAACTGAGAAATAAGGATTGCAAGTTTAGCCTGGTGGTGGTAGTGCCTTTAATTCAGGCACTTGGGAGGCAGCAGCAGGCGGATTGAGTTCGAGGTCAGCCTGTTACTACAGATTGAGTTGTAAGGCAGCCAGGGCTACACAGAGAAACCTTGTTTCAAAAAAAAAATCTTTAAAAAATTAAATTAAAAAAGAATTGCAAGTTTACTTGAATAAAAAGTTTTCAGTGGGACTTTGATGTAATTATGTAGATTGATATTTGAACAATATTCACCCAATAATATGTAGTAAACTTAGTTGCAAATGATTTGATCTTAACATGGGTCAAGTTTAGACCTAATGTTTGGAGATTTGACTGTTTGGTGACAAGTATGAAAAGAAGTAAATGGGAAGGAGTATAAATTCAGAGGTGTGATAAAAAGTGATTTAATTAGTCATTAAATTATAGTAATTTTTAGGTTTGAGGATTAGTTACCAAAGTAATAGTTATAGAATGTGGTAGTGGGCACCGAAATTGACTGATAAGGATCATTTTGTTATAGAGTAACTGTAGCCTCAACAATTTTAAGTAAGTTAATTCATCATCTATCACATGACTTCCTTCTTCTTCTCCTTTTTTTTTTTTTTTTTGAGACAGATATTACTATGTGGCTCTGGCTGGTTATGAATTCATAAATATCATGCCCTTTCCAGAGTGCTGGGATCATGGGTGGCCCTAACGACACCTGGCTGTTTTTTTTTTTTTTAATCATCTTTTTAATGTACTGAAGCTAGAATCCCGATATTATCTTTGTTTCTGTTTGCTTTTGCTTTTGGGTTATTTTGAGATGGGGATTCACTAGTAGCTGGATTTGCCTCTGCCTTCTGAATGATGGGATTACAATTGTGTTTCATGCCTGGTTTTGTAATGTTTCCTTTAGCATGTTATTAATGGGACTGGAAATGTAGCTTTTTAGCTCTGTCGGTAGAATGTTTAGCTGGGTTCAATCTCTTGTACATCATACACCAGACATAGTGGCATACACCTGTGATCTAAGTAATCCTTGGTTCTTTTAAAAAGGGTTTTGTTACTGTGTAAACACACATGCTTGGGGGGGGTGTTGTGTGGTCAGAGGACAACTTTGAGGTTCTCTTCTTCCACTGTGGGTTCTGGGGAATTAAATTTAGGCTTACATGGCAAGCACATTTTACCCTCTGAGCCATCTCATTTCTGAGCTAGATATCCTTGATTCTGTCGGCTTTTTCTTTTATTTTATCATTTACTTAGTTTTGTTTTGAATACTGTACTCATGTCCTGAATACTGTCCTTGAACTCCTGATCTGCCTCAAGCTCTAAAGTGCTGGCATTACAGATGTGTGCTCTCAAACCCAGCTATTTTATCTTTTTAAAAAAGTATTTCATTAGCTGGGCCGTGGTGGCACTTGGGAAGCAGAGGCAGGTGGGTCTCTGAGTTCAAAGCCAACCCAGTCTACAGAGAGTTCTAGGATAGCCAAGGCTACATAGAGAAATCCTGGCTCCTTGTCTCAAAACAAACAAACAAAAGTACTTTATTTAGTACATATATGTATATTTGTATGTGTGGCTCACATACAGCACATGTGTGATGGGTTAGAGGCCACTTTTGGGGAATTGGTTCTCTCCATTTCCATGTGGGTTCAGAGGATGGAGCTGTTCGTCTTACTTAGTGGTTAGCACCTTTACCCACTGCCATCTCACCTGCCTCGCTTTTATTTCTGAATTGGCACATAGTTATATACACGTATGGGGTACTATATGATGAAAGCAATTTTTAAAGATTCTGTATATGAGTGAGAGCATGTGATATTTGTCTTTCTGTAACTAACATTTAACATAATGTACTGCAGGTTCATCCATGTTGTCCCTGATGACATATTTCATCCTTTAGTTTAATAATATCTATTATATATGAGACACATTTTCGTTATTCATTCAGTAGTTGGTAGA